CTGCGCCACCAGGGAAGCCCAATTTTTTTTTTTTTTTTTCGAAATACTTTTTAAAGTATACAAGCACGTATGACTTTGTACTTTGCTCTTTGACTTGTCCCACAATAATTAACCTAAACACAGAGCTCCTAAAGGCAAGAGCCAGTGTTTGTTTTGTTTGTATTGTTTTGCTTTCCATGTCCTTTTCCTTCACGTTTCCCACTGGGCCCCAGAGAGGACTACTGATTTTAACTGAGAGTCTATGTTATGTGAGTCACTGAACTGTGCACTTTATGAGCTATCGACTTAATTCTTCAGACTCCCCAGTGCCTAGCACAGGGCCTTGCAGTCGGACACATAGTAAGCACTCCATAAATGCACACATGAGCGGATGAATGGGCCACGTATGAAGCTACCTCAGCTTCAAATCCACCCTTCAGGGCTCTGCTGTGTGAAGCTGGGGGCGCTCTTCAACCACGTTTCTCCTTTGCCACCTGCCAGAGATGTGCCAGAGGTCAGACTGGGGCTGAACGGGAGCAGGACTTGCTTCTTCCGTGCTTGCCAATGCTTGAGCCTGTCGCCTGGCGATGGCCTATTACCCTGGCAGTGGCAATTTGTTCCAGTGTCCAGCTCTCCGTCTCTCTCTCTTTTTTTTACTTTATACTACACTTTATTTATTTTGCCTTATTTTTTAATTATTGGAGTTTTGCACCTTCTTGGAATCAGCTGAGGCTCAGATCTACTGGCTCCAAGCTTCTGTGATGATGGTACCTCGGAGGCCATCACCCCTTCCCCAGCTGGCAGCGTCTCAGCACCTCAGGCCCTTCTTTCAAGCTTCCAGCTTCTAACAACCCTAACCTCTGTCCTCTGTTCATAGCCCTCTGGGGGCAGCTGCTTCCTTCTGCTTCTCTGGTTTTCTAACATCTGGATTAAATTTTCTCTGTGGAGATGACTGACAGGGTCTCTGAATTCCTGACCACACCTGGACTGATAGAATGAATGCCAATCTTGAGAGATAGGCATGATTGTCCTTATTTCACAGGTGGGAAAATAAAGACTCAGAGAGGTGGTGCTGACTTACCTAGGTTCAAGAACTAGAAAGTGGCAGAGTCAAGATTCAAGCCCAGACTTAAAAACAAATAAATAAAAAGTTACCACCCAGAATTGCACAGAGGCACTCACAAAGTAGAGCCTTGAAGACGTATGTTAAGTTTCTGATTAGTAAGATTGCCTGGAATATTTTGCATGCAGGCATATGGCAACTGGCAGTTCTGTTTCATAACTGGTTTCAATTTCAGCTTAGCTATGAGCTCACATTTGTCGATGGGAGTGTTCCGGACCGTTTAATCATCCACATCCACTGACCTGGAAGACACATAATTGTCTGTGATATCTGCTATGGAAATGATCACTAGGCTATTCAGCCTTGCGAATCTAATCTAGGTGCACTTTTTTTTTTTTTTTTTTTTTTTTTTTTTTTTTTTT